TCTCTTCAGTGTTTACTTCTCCTGGGCTTCTTTTCTCATGTTGGGTAGCTGGAGATTTTTTTTTTTTATTTTTATCTCTTGTCATGTTTCTGGATTCTTTCAGACTGGAGTGTCCTGGGAGTCTCTGGCCCTCTTCGTATTGCTTAGGGCCTTTCAGAAGCATGCTGACTTGAGTTTTTGCTGTCCTCCCCAATTTGCTGTTATGTGGGGTAGGCTGGGATGCAGGGGCTGTACAGGCTAGCCTCCAGACTCTGTGCCAATCAATCCATAAATTAGGCTGTACTGTCTGGATGTCACTGAGTTGTGACTATTTTGTATCTGCTTATTGGGCCCCAAGCAGAGGCTTGGTTCAGCCCCAGCCAACCCTGCCAGTTCTCTCTGTGCCAGAAGCAGCTGACTAATGTCACCATGGCACAGGGTTTTGCCCAAATCCCAGCTGTTCTTTTCCAGACCTCTCTGTGACAGGAGCACCAGGACAGCAGGTCTGCCCAATTCCAAGATGTCTTCCACTAGTTCTCTGTATGACGCTGAAGCCAGCATGGTGTCAGGCTCTGCCCAATTTCAAGATGTCCTCCACCAGATCTCCCTACAGGGCGACTCAGTGATGTCACCGAGCTGTAGGTTCTGCCCAACTCTAAGATGTCTTCCGTCAGACTCTCTGTGTTATTGATGTCCCCGTGGTGGTGGGCTCTGCCCAGTTCCAAGATGTTCTCTGGCCAACCCCAGTGGCCACAGGACCCAGGTCCCAGTACTCACCAGGGTTTGGTGCAAGTCTTCCTCTTGGGTCTACTGCACACCACACTGCTCGCCCTCACTGCACTCCCAGCACAGCGTGGAATGGTCAGAAAAGTGCACAGCATTTGGCTTCGGAGCTCCAGAGACTTTCACAATCTCCTCTGGTGCAGCGGGGCAGTCCTGGCTGCTTCTTGGGGTCCTAAGTCTCAATTTCCAGCAGTCACCAAAAGCCAACACAGCTTTTCCTATTGGGTCCATGGGTCAGTTTGCTGATTTAAAGGCATGGGATTTGCAGCCTCCTGTTATCAGCCTTCACAGTCTCAGCACGACTTTAAATCCTCCAGCCACACTGTCTTGGTTAATAAGAATTGTTATCCATTTGTTTGGCCCTCTCCATGTTGGCATATTCTAGCATCTAATATGATTTCTCCGGAGAAACTCTCCACCCGATCCCCTAGCAAGCTGCCATTTTCTGTCTCCTCCCAGTGTCATACCTAGACATTTATTTGTGACCTACTGTCAAGAATTTAACTCACTTTATTGGATTAGGAATTTTAAGTCCATTGAAAGTGTTTATTTTTATAATTCAGACAATAATGCTGTCTTGCTCAATTTGTTCTGGGAACTTTTCAGCAATGTTTCAGGGGACTTGCAATGAGTGAAATCTAGGAAGGATTTTTCTGGGAGAGTGTACAGAAAGCAGAGAGCTGATAGTAGAAAGAATATATATGCTGGGTGTTGGACCTAAGGCCTTGCACATGTTTGGCAAATAATGAACCCATAAGGCACATTTCTAGCCCTGAAGTATAAAGTCACTCATAAAAACTACTACTTATTGACTATTTAACAGGTGCTTTAGATAAATTTTATCATTTCCTCATTAGAGACATTATCTTTCCCATTTTATAAAGTTGAGTAGGGACCTTTTTCAGTGAAGGGTCAGACAGTAAATGTTTTAGGCTTTGTAAGACACAGTAAGTTCATAATGTTATTTTTTGTAACAGCTCTATAGAAATGTATTTAAATGTATTGAAGTAGGCCACAGTCAGCAGTTGACCCACATCTTGAGTATAGAAGTTAAGAATGTGAAGATTGGAGATAGAAGGTTTAGAATCTTGACTCCTGCTTTAATAATTTTGTGCATTGAACAAGATACTTAGCTTCTACTGCCTCTGTATCTCCATCTGTGAAAGAGAATAGATACAGAATTTACCTCAAGGCATTGTGATTATTCATTGTTATTATTTAAAAATGCTTAAGCCAATGGCTTACAACTAAATGTTCATGGAATAAATAAGGAAACCTAAAAGGAATGGGTGGGGCATGTTTGGGGAGGGAGACCTATCTAGAATGCCTCTGATTGTACCTTATGAGAGTAGGTACTCCCTCTGCATCTGTAACCAACAGGAAGTCCCTGTTTCCTCTCAAGCAAGAACACTGATGCCACACTGCCTCTGTATAGGCCATGCAAAGAAATTAGGAAGCAAACTGACCCTCTCTAGCTCTCTAAGAACATAAATTGCTATTACATAGCCTTACTATGGGTCTGATCTCTTTCTCAATTGTGAAAAAAAACCTTTCTGTAATAGTTGATACACTATCAATCTGAGAAGTTTAGAATTTAACTAAATAACTCAGCAGCTTTACATCCTAGGGTATACAGGAAATGTCCTGGGTGGCTGCTTGTGTTCCAGATGCTGTAATTCTTGATATATTGTGTCAGTTTGAGAAGTTTAGAAGTTTAAGTGACTCAGCAGGGGCCAAGGTCCTCACTTTGGAAACATCCTGAGCCTGTGCAAGTGGAGGGCAGGGAGATGGTGTGAGTGAGACACTCACTCAAAGATGGGTAGTCTGCACACAGCAAAAGGGAGGAAAAATGCTTGCCCCCACCCCCTTTGGTCTTGTTACTTTTGCTCTCTTCTGCCACCACAAATGGTTGCCCTTCAGTCATGCCACCCTGCCCTGGAGCCAGTTGATTATGAACTGAAACCTCCACAAACTTTGAGTCAAATAAACATTTCCTTCCTTCATTTTGAGCATCCGGCATTTTGTCACAGCCATTAGAAAAATGTAACTAACACTCCTTCTCAGTAGCACTTGACAAAGTTGGCTACTTTTCCCTCTTTGAAACTCTTATTCCTTCCTTGGCTTCCAAGACACCATACTCTAGTAGTTTTACTCATATCTTACTGTTTCCTTCCACATGGTACTATTTTCTACTTATCTCCTCAACTTCCAAATATTGGAAGACTCCAGAGCTCAGTTATTGGACTTCTTTTCCAGTTGTGTTTCCTTATTTGGTGATCACATCTAGCATAATGCCTTTAAGCAACATTTGTACATTAATGACTCCCAAATTATTCAGCTTGATCTATTTCAAAACATATGTCTGACTGTCTATTTAATATATCTTTTGAATAACTAGGAGACATTTCAAATTTACTGTGGCCTAAACTGAACCACTGAGCTAAAAACTAAGAACTGCTTTTCATTGATCTTTAACTCAGTTAAAAGCAATTTCCAGGTGTCTCCTTCCAGATGCTCAGTATGAAATCCTTAATGATTCATTTTCTCTCACACGCCACATTCAGTTTTTCAGGAAATTCTGTTGGTTTCATCTTTGAAACACTTTGAGAATCAGTTGCTTCTCATCACTTCCGATGTTATCATCCTTTTCTGAACCATCATGAACTTGCACTAGGAATAGTACCTTATCCTGTGCCCTCAATACTTTGTTTCCTTCTCCCTTAACTTGTAGTTAATTCTCTATACAGTCACCAGAATGAATGTATTAAAACTAAAATCAGATCATATCGTATGTCACTCTTCTGCTGAATATGCTTTAGCTAAATCTCATCTCACTAAGAGCAAAAGCCAATTTCACGCAATGCTCTCTAAGATCCTGTACAATTAGATTTTCACTACATCTTTGACCTTATTTCCTATTGCAGTCTCCATTGCTAAATACACTCTGACCACACCAGCTTCCCCACTTTCCTTTAGAGTCACTGAACACACTTCAACCTTAAGGCCTTGCTGGATATTCTTTTCACCTAGAATCTAAGGACTGCATCAATTTTGCCAAGGTTCTTCACCATCATTAAGGGCTCACCAATCCACTCCTGCCTTTACCCCATAACTAATCACTATCAGAGCTAATATTTACTAGGTGTTATTCAAAAGCTCTTTACCAAGTAAGAGCTTGCTTACTCTTCATTGCAAACTGTTTTATTTATTATTAGTATTATTATTCAGATGAGGAAACTGAGATCCAAAGAAGTAACAAAACTAGTTTAAAATATAAATAAAATATACATATTAGGAAGCAGGAATATTTTTCTCAAATGAGATGGAGAACAAGAGATGGAGGAAGGGGAAAGGGAATTAAAGGAAAAGATTTAAAAAGAAAGGATTTAAGAAAATGGAAATAGGGTACTGAGGATTTAGCTCAGCTGCATGAATGCCTGCCTTGCAAGCATGTGGTCGTGAGTTCGGTCCCTGGTACCAATAAAAAAAATAAAGAAAAAGAAAGAAAGAAAATGGAAATAGTGTTTGTAAATCGGAAGGGTAGTAAGAGTTGGAGGGATAATGGAGGGATGTTAGGGTAAGTAGAATAAAGAATTAAGACGTGTTGTGTACATGGACAAAATAAGTGTAATAATTATGTATTGAAAATATGTACTGATAAATTTTAAACCAAATTATCTATCTTGCTGTTAGAATAGCATATTTCAAATTGTTCTGACCGAGACCCATGTTAAAATGTATCAAAACTTACATAAAATTAAAACAAACTTTTCATGAAATACTTATTTCATAATTTGATATCTTTTTTCCATCAAATAATTCAATGATGATCTAGATGTACTTAATTGGTTATACCACTCTAATCAGTCAATTTCATCATGTTCTGTTCAGTAAAAATTCAGGAACATCATTTTGCTTTTGAGTCTATGCCTCTGATGAAAACTATTTACATTTTTCAGAGACCTTCAAAATTTCTCTAGCCATAAAGCATGACACTTTAATTGTGGAATGCCAAATGTCAAAAAATGTCTGGGAAAGAGATGAAAGAACTTCTAGCAAGCCTCACAGTGGTGAAATTTGGACCCTGGTTGATTTTTTTTCTCACCTCAGAATGTAGGCAACTAGAAATAATGAAAAAGAAATTCTAAGAGGATATTTTAAAGCACATGGTCTAGAAAATGTGATTGTGTGAGGAGACAAAAGGTTAGATAGAAAAGGACTTAGGACTAGGTTGTGGATACTTGTTAATATTTTTATTTTAAATTTTATTTAATTAGTACATGTTTACAATTTATGCAGTTTACAATCATCTTGGAGAGTGATTTAATGTACATATTAGAGCTTTAAAAAAAAACTCTTTCCCCTCACCTCCCCCTCTTTTGGTGGGTTTCCCCTACGACTTTTTCAATAATTGCTGATATTATCTATTTTAGCTTATGTCATGGCATATAATGTTTACATTGGTTGTAGTTGCTAGAATCCTGAACATAAGAATTTGGTACCTCAACTTAAAGGCAATGAAGAATCACTAAAGTGTTTGATCATAGACAATCTGGATTAAACAGTGCCTTAGGAATATATCTCTGATAGAAGTGAAAGAATGGATTCGGGGGATGCAATAATCAAGACATGGAGTCATTCAGGAGGCTGATGTGATGATGGTCCAGGAGAGATAAAAGCAAGGGGGTGATCTAGGTTATGCTTGTAGAGAAGATACACAGAAGAAGTGCCACAGGAGAAGCAACAGGAATTGGCAACTAATTATCTGTATTCTTTCCATATTCTCAATTTACACTTCAGTCCTGATGTCTTCTTTCCCAATTTACTACCCACTTGAGGGTTTCCACAACATACTGAAATAAGGGAATATGTGTGTGGATGAGTGGCTTCTGCTCTGTGACAGATGAGGGAGAGAAGACAGTTAATCACAGGCAGGCCAGATGGAGTCAGACCATACAATTTTAGATTCAGAAAGGGATCTTAGAATCCTGCTATAAGAATGTCTTACAGTGAAAAGGGGCAAATTAAAAATCTTGGAGCTGAGCAACAAAAGGAACTTTTAGGAAAAGTCTCAGCCTTGATCTCTTGAGTTCACCTCTTCTTCATCTTCTTCCTTTACTTAATCTTTCTTTCTTTCTTTCTTTCTTTCTTTCTTTCTTTCTTTCTTTCTTTCTTTCTTTCTTTCTTCCTCCCTTCCTTCCTTCCTTCCTTTCTTTCTTTCTTTCTTTCTTTTTCTTTCATCTCTTTCCTCCTCAGCCATCTTCATATCCTCCTTTTTTCCCTACCATTTTATCATTCATTCTCCTCTTCCTCTCTCACCTCCATTTCCTTTTTCTTTATTCTCTTTTTCCACTTACTTCCATCTCTTCTCCCTTCTCTCCCTTGACTCTCTCAGTTCTTATCCAGCAAAACAAGCTCCATTTGAGAATGGGAATCAGCATCTGAAAACAAAGAGGTGATCCAAGCCATTCCATCAGAAAGGGTGGTCGATAACTTGAAAAATCTTTACCTGTAAATAAACAGATGCCATTCTGACTTTCTTTATATTGTACTATTTCTGTTCAAGACTCTTCTGACCACAAGATTCTCTTCTTGTCTCCTCAACATCTCCCTGGAAAAGGACTTAGTATGTCACTTAGTAGAAAGTTTAGCAATTTTCTGTGTGCAGTGAAGGTCAGGGAAATCTGGGGTCAGAGGTCATGGCTCTTGATTCCTCACTTCTTTGCTCTTTCTACTGGTCACTTATTTCTATAAATGTATCAAAGTGGATTGCAGCATAAAATGCACTTAGGCAACTATTACAAATACAGAACTCAAGCCTCATCCCAAGTCAGAATCTTCATTTTAACAAGAATATCATGAACATTAATGTTTATGAAGTACTGCTCTGGAGAGACCACATTTTTAAAGTATAGTCACAGACATTCCTATAGAAACCCATTTTCCTAGAAATGTGGAAGGATAAAGAAGCTGAAAGTCAAAGAGTCCTTGAGCGCAGAGATCATCATTCAGGAACTGTCAAAGAACAGTAGACAGGGATTCTGGCTCTAAAGGAGGAGCTGTCACTCAGCTTTGGCTGATTTCTTGTAAAGTAGATATGTCAGACCAGGACTACCAGAACTTCCAATGTTTCACGAGAAGCTGGAAGTGCAGATTTTAATATAACATATCATAGTTTAATCCCCAACAAATGTTTAAAACACTGTGGTGGGCAAATAAGTTGGAGTTGTTGCCCAGATATTTTGTTTATATTTTCTGATGTAGTCTGGGTGATTTTTTTTTTTTTATTAGCAGAGACTATTTGTTCAATCACAATCTTATCTGGAAGCTTAATTGCAACACTGTTAAAGGAGAACCACTATGGTTAAAGTGGGTCCAGAGCTCCTCCTACTTACCCTCCCACCTGTCTCTTAGGAGAAGATGGAAGATGTAGCCTCTGTGGGGTATTTCCTACACTGTACAAAAGTGCAGGTCAAAAAGCACTGAGAGGGCCGGAGATTTAACTTAGTGGCATAAGTGCCTACCTGGCAAGCATGAGGTCATGAGTTCAATCCCCAGCACAGACACCCCCACCACAAAAGCACTGAGAGACTACATGCACACCATTTGACAGATGAAGTGACTGAGTAGATTATGTTACACAGAAACTTAACAGTTACCTGACTTCTATTCCAGGGCTCTTCTCAAATTGACTCACTGCCTTCTTTGTGTGATTTTCTAAAATAGCCTTCCATCAGTGAAGAATTCATTCTATATTTCTTGCAGGTAATCTTCCAGATTCTGTTTGGGTGCTTTCTGTGATGTGACTTAAAAAGATGGAAATTAACTTAAGAGCTTGACTTGGAATCTTTGACCAGGTACATGTTTGTGGGCTTTGCAAGTCCTAAATCCACCCAACTTGATGGAGGTTAAATATGCTCACCTAAGTGAAATTCTTCTTTGTTATTTCAGCTCCACTCTTTTTCTTGAAACTGAATAGTGGGATGGAGAGCAAAGTCCTTATTGGACAGAAAACCAAGCATTAGTATATGGTATTGAAGAAAGAGAATAAGAAAGGAGTGGGTGCTAAGAAAAGGTAAAGTTATTTCATTTGTACAAGAGTAGAAACTTCTCGGTGATTTTAGAGAAAATGCTTGAGTAATGGGCTCATACCTATTGAAAGAGCAAGTGTTTTATCTAGGAAGACCCTGTGATAAAGCTGGAGAGGTTTAAGGGAAACGGCTGAGCTGAGATTTCCTCCATTCCAGGACGGTGATGTCTGAAGCAGCTTGATGAGCAGCATCTTATCTTGTCTTTAGACTCTAACTCCTGTGGCCTGAAGGAAAACAAATATGACTACTGCCTTCCTGCTCTTCCCTAGCTGCTTGATGCTGCTCCATGAGCTTGCTTCAAGTGCCTCTGGAGTTGTCTGGTTTTCTCTTGCCTGAGTTGCTTGAGAAAGTTGGGGAGAATAAATTCGTCTTCAATGTCAAATTGCTACTTGGGAAACTTGCGAAGGAGGAATTATGTTACCAGGAGAATGCCTGACTAGTTAATGTTCCAACAGAGGAAAGAAGAGCCCATATGTGCAATAAACTTTCTTATTCAAAGGCTGAGGTTGTCCTCAGCCTTTCTGCTGGTCGTGCTCCCAAATATAGATGAAAAGGTTTCCTATTTATTTTTGGACAAAGCTACCTTAGCAGCTCCAACACAGTGGCAGGAGTTTTGTCTAGAGCTGAGCTGTTTACAATTTAACACATGTAAATTACTGGGGGCCTTGTGAAAATCTTGATGGTGTGTCTTTAATAATTCTTGGTTTTTATGGGATCCTGTGTTTCTAATAAGATCCTGAATTATGGACAGTCATGTTCTGAGGCTCACACTTTGACTACTAGCAAGAGGTTAGATGACTTCGAGAATCCATTTAGTTGAACTTTTCTTCTCAATGTCCAACATTAAAATGTGTACCTTTATACATTTTTTCCCTTTTTAGATTTCTGGGGTAATATCGAATGTTTCTAATTTCTAATTTCTAATTTCTTTCCTTTCCACCCTGACTCCTTCGAAACACATTATTTGTCTCTGCTACCTATCATCTCTTCTTTTTGCTTCACATTCTGACTTTCTGACTTAGCCTGATTCTCTGACACCATCTTTTACCACTAACATATATTTTACTGTACTCCACTTCTTTTTCTTCCATGTTGGCTTTTTTCTATCTCTGCTACATGTCAATCTCATTTCCATTCCTGGACCTTTACCTTTGTTGTGCATTTTTGTTTGAAATGATCTTTCTGTACCACAACCTGACTGGTTTTTTACCATTCAAGTATCGAGTTAGATGTTACCTTCTCAGAGAGGACTTTTTTGGTTACCTAAGTAAAGCAATTTCTCTCTGCCCTGGTTACTGTCCATTATAGCATGTTGCTTAGCTATTTCATAACAATTATTTGATATCTACTGTTAACTTATTTTTGGCTTTTGGATTCAGTGTCTAAATTAATCCTTTAGAATATAAGCTCCTGTCTTGAGGACAGAGGCAGTCTTTTCTGTTTGTTGTTGTATCCCAGCCTTTACGATGAAACTGGAACACAGTAGCCTCTTGATATACATAATGGTTGGTTGACAGACTGTCCAATAGACATTATTCTTCATTCATTGAAGACTGTACCTCCTCCTTTATCATTTATGTTCATTCTTTCTAATATCTGCTTGAAATCAGCATTCTTGTAGATGGCCTCTTCAACTCTGATCTTACCTTCATAAACCTTTTTCTTCACTGCATGCAACCTGAAAACTCCTGTGGTAAAATCCAACGTCTTGTCATAACTAGCAAATGACTGAGTTAATTTCTGGTATTTCTAATTCAAATATTTCCTCTTTATTCACTGTATCTTGTTCTTCTAGTTCACTTTGACACCTCTTCAATACTTTTCCATGTCATCAAGATCTTTAATCCATTGACCTCATAGTTTAGTGGCTCTACACCATTACTCAGCACTCCTATTTATGTACTCATTTCCCTTTTGTAGGGTTGAATTTCCTGGCCTACTCTTATCATCTCCCCTTGCAAATGCATGCACTTCTATTGTCCACTTCTTTCCCTACAATATTTACTTGATAAATACCTCCAAGATTCCACTCAACATGCTATCTTCTCCATATGCATGAGTGAACAGCAAAATGGACTGATGAGAAGACCTAAAGATGGGCTGATTTATTTTGCTGTACTAAAAGCCTCAATTAGGCACTTTATACTTCTTGCAAACTCTACTATATGTCCCTGTTGTATTTCCTTTTTCAATGTCTTCAAGACAGTGGCTTTCAACCTTAGTATCATATTAGAATCATCTGAGGAGTTTTAAAAAATCCTGATACCAAAAATTTGGGGTTATCTATGATTCTTTTGGTCATATTCTCACATCTCATATCCATTTGTTTCTATCTCTAAAATGTACCTCAAGTTTTTTGAACTTTTGTCCATCATCTTCATTGTTATCCCAGTCCAATTCACCATCATCTCTCCTCTGGATCACAACAGCTTCTAGCTCCTCTCCACCAGTGAATCTATTTATCTTGATTTTTCTATTGTCTGGTTTTGAAGGCCTAAAATGCCTTCATCATCCTGTTCTGATCAGTTTTATACTATTCTGTTTTGTATGAATTCATTATGTGTGAAGATATGAACAACTATTTAGAAGAGAGCAAGAGACAATCTGATAGACAGTGATGATTTCCTGCTGTCTTGCTTTAAAATCTGTGTCTCTTACATTGTTTTCTTCTGATCTGCTTTGTTCTGTTTTGTTATGTTTAGTTTTACCGTATTTACAAATACAATTTAAAAAAATAAGTAAATGCCATCTTTTTGGCAAACTTTCCTCTCTTATCTATCCTCTCTTTCCTTATCTATCCTTTCTTTTTCCTCCCACAGAATTACTCTCTGTCCTTTCACTTTCTTTCATGGCACTTATCAACATCTGTATTAAAATATTTATTTACATTATTTACTTATTTGTTTAACACAAATGAGGACATAAACTGTGTCCATCATGTTTACTGCTATAATATCAGGTCTTAACACAGTTTGGCACATAATAGGCACACATGTTTAATGAATTTATGAGTAAGTATAGGTAGTAATATATACACATAAAATATTGGTTTGTTGGCCAGGTATGGTGGTGCACACCTGTAATTCCAGCACTAGAGAGGCTGAGGCAGAAAGGTCACAGTGAGTTCGAGGCCAGCCTAGGATACATAGTGAGTTCAAGGCCAGTATGAACTACATAGTGAGACCTTGTCTTGGAAAAAAATACAAAAACTGAAACACAGAAAATGTTAGTATATTAGAACAACACAGATTATAATGTAGATTTTAGCCTTGGGTTACTAAAACTAGAATTAGAGCAGTTTGTACTTTTAATTTTAACCGCTTTTGCTACTGTACTATATTCACTATCTCGAAAAAAGGGTTTGAGTTTTTACTCATGTACAGCCACTAATTTTGTGGTTTTGTTAGTTTCTTCCATTCCATGTGACTATATTATCTCAACAGTAAGATGTTAATGTACCAGGGGTTAGAAGTTTAACATATGAAGGGGAGAGGGGCAATAATTAAGCCTTTAATAACCAGGAAATAAAAAGAACCTATTCAAATGAGGGATTTAAATGTGAGTACACTAAGTTAGATGAAAAATGATAAAATCAGGGCCTAAGGTATTTCTAGACATTTTCCTAAAGGTGATTTCACTAGTGCCACAATTTAAAGAGTCATGGAAGTTTGAATGGGTTGTTTAACAGGAAAGGTGCATCCAAAATATTTACAGTGAACTAAGGCTCAGAGATGCAAAAGTGAAGATACTTTGTAGAATCACCAATGCCTAGACTATCAGCCTTGGGAGGAAGTTGAAAGATCACCCAGGCCAATTTATCATTTGATTCAAGAATCCCACAATAAAAGGCCATTCACCGTCACCTCCCATGGCTGAGAACTTAACAGAACGTTAATCTTTGGCCAGCTCTGTCTACTCAAAATAACAGCTCCCATGAAGTGGGGAAGGGTTGCTAAGAAGTAGGGGACAATAGGGATGTATGCAAACCATGCCAGTGATGGTTTCATGTCAGTGATCTCCAGGAATTTATTTCTGATATCATACTTTAATTTCTTCTTACTGTTGTTGCCACTTGCTTTTGTAATTCCCCTATTGACTAAGTCAGGAGGTTTGGATTCTTATTTTATTATGCTACTTTGAATATCATGTCTTCAACCTCTTGGGATGCAATGCTTGTATTTTCAACAGGGGTTCAATAACACTTTGTTATGTTCACCTCACAGTACAATTAGCTATTGTTAGCATTATGCAGAATAATGGTATGAATGTGACTGACAACTTCAACTTTCAGCATATGTAAATGGGCCATCCTGGCTTGTGTTGCCTAGAGATGAGGGCATCATTAAGAGTTGGGCTGTTTCTCCCTTTTCCTGCTTTACTGTATATTTGGCTCATTGTCAGCTAAATAAGCAAATGGAAAATTCACTGATTATCAAACCACTTTTCCTGTCCCTGATGACAGAGAATCCTGGAGTGGTGAGGAGAGGAGAGAGAGACAAAGAAGGCGGACAGGTGTTTGGAAAGCAGCAGAGAATAAAGTCAAAGGTTCATCTTTTTCATTTGACCTTAGACACATCCCTTCCTTCTTACAGATCTCCATTTGTTTATCTGTACAGTGGGATATTAATGCCTGTGTCAACAGGATTGTTCTAAGTGAAAATAATACAGCTTTTTAAAAAACGAAAACAAAGAGCGCACACTCTAGTAGGGAAGACCCCAGGGGAGTACGCAGAGGGAGAACTTGAGGGAAGAAAGCATTAGAATACTGTAATGGTGTCACTGAGATTGGATCTTATTCAGAGACTGGCTCACATCTTTTGTAACTTTGAAGAGGACTTTCCTCTGATTCAACACAAATGGGAGGACTCGCAAATAAACAGGCTCTAACACCAGCGCAGAGGAAGACAGGCAGAGGTGGCTGCCACCTTCTCCCTGTTGAAGAACCTGCACTGCAATTCTTGGCCGCACCCTACCTCTAGTTCTCAAGTCTTGATAGGGGACAAAGGCAGTTCAGCGGGTGTCCTCCCCCCTCCCCGCTCTCCTGACCGCGTGGTTCTCTCTGCCAAGCAGCCCCCCACCCCCAACAGCAGGGAGGAGAAGCAGAGCTTGTCTGCGGACATGAAACAACCTGACTGAAGGCAAGGTCGGGGCGGAGGGAATTGGGCTGTGGGGCTGTGGAGGAAGGGAGGCGGAGGGGGCGCTGGGGCTCTCTCTCCCTCCAGCCCAGACTTCCTAGCCAGCCCGCGACAATCTGCGCCAGGAATCGGGCCTCAGAGAAGCCGGACTTCCAGGGCACCATGCAGTGGATTAGGGGCGGATCAGGAATGGTAAGTGCACTTAGCCCTGGCCTCCTCTGCTTGAGTCTTAGTCCCCAGACCCACCTCCGGTTCTTCCAACCAGCCTCCACACAGCAGCGACCCACCCCCCCTTACCTCAGTCCACCGCTCTTGCTGCCATCCCTGAAATGCCAGTGAGCTTACTGTGGCCATTTTAAGAGCTCCCGCAGGCCCGCGGACCTAGGATAGCCTCCTCCCATCCCCCTCCGCATCTCTGCTGTCCTCTGACATTCGGGTGAAATGAGGATGATGGTACCTTGAGAAGGCGTCCTGGAACAGCTGGGGAGTCACCTGAGAGGTCACAGAGGCAAGGGGGCTGGCAGAAGGACTCTCTGAGACCAGAGAATCTCAAGGGAGGCAGACAAGCTGGTAAGGGTCCAAGGGAGCAGTAAAAAAGCCTGGGTTGTGGAGAGGGCCTTTGGGGGAGCTGCACCCAACCCATCTCCGGAACTAGGCTCCGTGTACCCCTGATGCTGTGTAAGAACCAGAAAGCGCTTCTAGGGGAAGCTGCCTGGAAGAGCCCTGCAATCCTTCCTTCCTAGGGCTGGGGTCACCCTGTCCATACTTGGAGCTTTGTGACACCTGCATAAACCCCCATTTTAGGCCACGTGCTGCTAGCAGAGCCACCCTGCCCCCTGAGTGCCTGCATGTGTTTAATGTCCTCCTATTTTATGCCATGGTACTCTTTTTTTCTACCTGAAGACCTTGGAATGACTTCCCTTTGCAGAAAGGAAGTGGTGTCTGCATCTTGCTGCTTCACTGATTGAAACCTGATCAGATCCTCTGGGGAGTGAGAGGCCACAATAACTTTGTCCTCAGCAGATATGAACAAGAATGTGTTGGAGGACAGTTGAGTTGGTTGTTTAGGTGATTGCAATGACAGCTCCTACTTTTGCATTGTCACCCATAACCTGTAGCTAACACAAAGTAGCCTGAAGTGATTGGGTAAAATTTGATATTTAACTCCTTTTTACACCTATTCTAGAAGGGAAGAGGGATTATGGTATAAGACTCTGTTAACAGAAACTGCGCTTTCACTTCCTCAAGCTTTATCTCAGGGTCTCTGTTTCAGAGATTCTTAAAAGCATCAACTTTACGTGTATTAATACAAAGGCATCAAGAGAACCTTCTTCCCAGACTTCCCTGGAGTACTGTTAAAGCTACATGAAGAGTTTGTAGACTCAGAAAAAGGTTAGAGCAAGTAAAAATATCAGAGTCCTTGTGGTCCAACCAGGAAAACTAACACCCAGAGAGTGGGAAAGACTTGACCAAGGCTATAAACACTCGAGGCCAAATTTGAATCTAGCACCTGTCTGAAATCTTGTTCTATCCTTCGCTACTACTCTACAGAATGAACTGTTCAAATGTTTCTGAAAGAGACAGAAATGCACAAAGTAGTCAGAATCTTAAGAAAAGACCTTCCAATATCATAAAACTTGTCTGAAAATCTTATAACATTTCTGGTAGACGAGTGTGGATGAGACTTTCCACCTCTTCCACATATATTGTAGTACATCAAGGCCCCTCCAATCACTCACTGATAGTATATTAAATTAATGGAGAAATTTGAAGTTTTGCTAGTTGTGTACGTGAGAGTGATAGAGTAGCAGATATCTTGTGAAGACTAAAAAATTAAAGATTAACTGAAGGGGAAAACATAACTTTTTGGTAATATTAAGAATTGAATCCAGGGTCTTTCTATTGAGTTACATCTCTAACACTTTTTTATGCTTTTATTTTGATGCAGGGTCTCACTAAGTCACTAATTTATGCAAGCTGAGGAGAACTCTCAGCTTCTTAGAGCACTATAACTATAGGCATACACTGCCATGTCCAACTTTGTTATATTTTTTAAGAATCAAAGTATTAAATATTATATGATGAAGACATTAGTTAACATTTTCCAGAATTCAAAAGATAGGAGTAAGAAATTGTTTTAGCTTGCTAGGCAGGAAACCTCAGGTCTTGGTCCAAATATTAAATGTTTAGTGAGACTGTCCTGGGCTTCAGATATCTAAATACCTTTAAATGACCTATTAATGATCACCACAGTTCCTTTCAGGCCTGAGTTTCTAGGATTCCTTGATATAAGTTTTACACAAAATTTAACTAATGAATTATTAGGAAAAAATAAGGAAAGTATATCTTGCCACCTTTTTATAATGTGGCTAGTCAAGAGGTCTTCTTTCTTTGTTCTTTCATTTGCAAAGCACCCAAAATACACAGTGAGCTTTTTATTCTAATAATGAATTTCCTTTACGAACAATTGACTATTGTAATTTATTTCAAGTGTAGCATGTAACTCACAGTCACTGAATATAAAACAGTGTTCAAAAATTTACAGAATAAAATCTCTCTTGATAGAGGATGTTACACTATGAGTTGGTAGATAGGGGACATTAAACTGAGTTCATATTGAATGATAAACTGTTCAGGATATTTGTTTATAACATTTACCTGCAGTGCTAGTTTGCATTGGACTGTGCATAGAGAGAAAAGAACACTCTTCTGAGAGTCACAAGTCTAAGATTCAGGATTGGCTTTTATACTTTTTACTTCTGAAATCTATGCCAGTTGTCAAATCTCTTTCGCCGTTGGTATTCTCATCCATAAAATGGGAAAAAGTTATCTTATAGGTACTTTGAGATGATTAATTATCTAAAAATATATTGAGCATCCAGTATGAATTGGCAAGGATGTAGATGGAGAAAAGATGGAGAAAGGCAACACTGAAGCATCCTTATTCTTGGGAAACTTTCATCCTAAGATATGGAGAAACACTAAACAATCACACAAATAAGTATACAATATGCCAAAATGTGCTAAGCACCAAGGAAAAAATACTAGTGAGACAACAAAAAGAGATAAGGAATAGGATGATGTATTAAACAGAAAAGTGTCAAAGGACATTTTCATAGAGGTGTGAAGAAAATGAAGGGATAAGCTCCATGGGTATGTTCAGAATAAGAGGCTTCTAGGTAAAATGGTCATGCAGAAAGAACACAATTGCTTTAGGGAACGATGTTCTGAGGATGAAGAATTAGTGAAAGAAAGTTAAAATCAGAGAGAAAATAGACCAATTTTTTAGGGCAATTAATGTGACTGCGGTAGGGAGCCTTTGGAAGATTTTGAATAGATGAGGGCACATGATATGTTTGGAATTTTATCAGAGAAATAGATTATACTAGCACAAGGACAAGAGCTGAGAAAAGTCTGTTAAAACAGTCTAGGTGTAATGGTGGTTCAGATCTTGGTGATAATGTGGAGATGATCTATATGATGAAAGGACTGTACCTTGCATTGTTTGTAGAGGCTTGATGTCTTTTTTCTTTCTGATAATACCTTTGGTTCCTCAGATAGCTGAGAGTGGAGCTAGAAACAAATACTTGAAGGACATTTAAACACAGTGAGTTAATGATCTGATTTGTAGTCTTAGCCACTAATTAGACTGAGGAGTGGTTCCATGTAGATTATCAATAAATTAGTTTCCTACTTCTTTGATTTTTTTTTTTTTTTTTTTTTTTTTTGTGGTGCTGGGAAGTAAACCCAGGGGTCCTTGTGTATCCAAGGCAAGAACTCCACTATTGAGCCACCTCCCTAACCCCCTTGCTTTCCTGATTCTGAGAGGATTAATTATATCATGAATACTTTGTAGATATTATATACCTACCATACACAAAATCTGGAGTTGATAAATTTTTTTTGTACCAGGGGTCAAACACACCACCTCACACTTGTCAGGCAGGCACTTACGCTACTGAGCTAAATCCCCAACTCTTGAAATTGATAATTTTTAACTTTGTCTTCTGTATGATGATTATTTTTAGTATTACTCATGAAGTCATTATTAATTTTCTGGATTTTTTCTTTAATTTTAAACAATGAAAAAATAATAAATTCATATTTAAAGGAATTTGAATTAAAAACATAAGAATTAAGATGTGCATTGACTGGGGGCTGGGGATTTAGCTCAGCGGCAAAAGCGCCTGCCTTGCAAGCAGGCAGTCATGAGTTCGATCCCTGGTACCGATAAAAACGAAAAAGACAAAAAAAAAAAAAGATGTGCATTCACAGAACAAAAATATATAACTTGCTGTTGGAATTGTCTTGCTGTTTATTTTAAGAATAAATAAAAACTCCAGCGGTAACACAGAAAGACAGAATCATCATTTTTATCTTTATAAACACTGTATAAACACTGTTTACTTTCAACCCTCTATTTACATGCTAAAACATATAGTACCAGGGAAATTGTAGATACAAAATACTTAGAACTAACTTGAATGACTCTGACACTTTTACATAGTGAAATAACTGAATGAACTTATATATTTAAATCGTGTGTTCCAAGGTTAAGTATATAACTAGGAGTCCTTTGAGTCAGCTTCCATGTAGAATGTAATGTTGATTAAAGGGCAAGTAATAAAAGTGCCCATTTAAAACATCATATGTGTATCAAAATTTGACAGTAACCACAAAAACTGTTTTGAACTTTGATGAGCACAGTTTTTGGGAAGGGAGAGTATTTTATCATTGAAATTATTTACAAATGCTGGCATATAATGATAATAAAAATCGTTTTGACTTTTAGTCTTTTAAAAATTCTCTATAGAATAGTGCATTATTTTACTGCTTGCAGTCAGAGTTCTCTGTTCTCATTGTGAGGGATGAATATAGAACTGTGAACTAATCTCATGTCAAATTCTACCTGATTGGGCTGGGGATTTAGCTTAGCGGCATAAGCGCCTGCCTTGCAAGCGCTTAAACAAAAAGCGATTAAAACAAACAAACAAACAAACAAAAATCTACCTGATCTTTATAAGAATCACAACATATGAGGTGGTGACAGTTCCTGCACAGGCAAGATGAAATAATCAACTTGTAAATTGAACAAATTGTGCTATAACAGAAATTTTGGGAAGACTTCTTTAAAAGGAGGGGCCCTTATCCTCTTCTTTTTCCCTTCTAAAATGTGGATGCTACGAAGTTTTCTGGGGGGTTCAATTGGAAGTCAAATGCTAGGAATGAGAGAGCAGAAAAATTCTTTTAAAAATTTCTAAACTACTACACTAGCCCAGGTATGTTCACCTCTTGATATGTGTGAAAGGATAAAACCTTTGTTTGTTGAATTACTGCCTAAGATTTTGGAAAAGGAATTTTCCCACTTTTATTCTCTCTACTCCCAAGAAAAATGTTCAAATACTACTCATTGTATAAACTTTGAATATTGAAGTTCAGAAAGGGAAGGTACTTGATCCATGACCACAGAGCCTCTTAGTAAATGGAAAGCACATCTATAGTTCTGAATTCCCAGCTGAGTGTAACTTCTCTTATGTAAATTTAGTAGGGCCAAGGGAGGGGAAGCATACCAGTTTCATACCACCTATATTAAATGTTAGTCAATACTTGCACTAGCCCCTTACAAATGAGTCTTAATGTTTATATTTGTCCATTTGGTAGTTCATGCAACAAATATTCACGATCGCCTATTATGTGTCAGGTGTTTCCCCAGACTTTAGACACATAGCAGGTAAAATAATTGCAAAATGTTCCTGCTTTCCAGAATTCTACAGCAGCCAGGAAATAAGACAGATATATGAATCTTATGATGTTAGAGAAAA